TTTTCTCCCTCCGGTGCAGGGGGTTGGGGGCGTGAGTGAGGGGCCGGGTCGTGCCCGGCTCCTACCTGGGGCTGAACCATCACACCTGTCCCTGCTTCTACTGCATGTGCAGTCTCGTCTTGTCTTTTAGTTTGACCAGCAGGTCTCAATTCAGCCATGCTGGTCTCTTTCCTTTCCTCCCCAATTTCTTACAGCTAGGAATCAAGAGTTCTTGCGCTTTATGAAAAGCATCTTTTAAGATCTGCCAGCTCTGCTCTGCTCCCTTGTCTCTAAGGACTGTTTCCCAGGAAGTCTTACTGGCTAACTCCTTGAAGTGCCGGAGGTTTGCTTTCTAAAATTTAAGGTTCTGACTTTGCTTTTCATCTCCCTCATATCTCTTAGGACAGTTAACTGCACTAACACATGATCACTGCAGCTCAGGCTGCCTCCTATCTTGACGTCCCTGATGAGTTCACTAGCATTTGTGACCATCAGGTTTAGTGTTGCATCCCCTCAAGTAGAGGCCTCTATTCCCTGCTTCAGGAAGTTGTCGTCAAGGCACTCCAGGAGTCTCCTGGATTGCCTACAGTTCACCTTGCAACTTTTCCAACATACATCAGGGTGGTTGGAATCCCCCAGTAGGACAAGAGCCTGTGAGCGCGTTGTCTCTTGTAGCTGGAGTAAGAAGGCCTCGTTGATAACCTCCACTTGATCAGGCGGCCTGTAGTAGTATTGTTAAGGGACAGCTCTTCACAATCCATCAATTTCTTAACATAAAGGGCAACACTGCCACCCTTCTTATCACTCCTGTCCTTCCTGAACAGTTTGTAGCCATTGATAGCTACACTCCACTCACAGGGTTCATCCCACCAGATTTCAGTAATGACCATAGCCTTCCTGTGGCACGGTAGCTTGCAGCTCTTCCTGTTTGTTGCCCAGGCTGTGTGCATTGATGTAGAGGCACTTCAGCTGGGCTGCTGGACACGTTGGCATCTTAGAGGGGCATCCCTTTAATCCCCGAGGGTGTTCCTTGACTAATACCCTGTTCTTCTCATAGGTACGTCAAACGTGGAGCTTGAGTTTGCCTCTTCCATTCCTTTCATGCCCTATTTTTTCTTTTTTTTTTTTTTAAAGTAGACACTTTTTGCTTTTAGTTATTAGAAGGAAAATGTATTTATTCTACTGTTTATTGCACTGCTCTCTTGTACTGCTCTTGGGGGAAGGATTGCAGAGCGAAAGATGGGGCGTGGCAAAGAAGGGAAGGCAGGAGGACACAGTGTATGTAACATACATGTATAGTAATTTGTTCTTTTTTTTTTCCCAGCGGATGGTACCTGGTGGGAAAATGCAGTAGCTGCTTTTCTGAATCGGAACTACCCTGTCAGCTGGCTTGTCCGAGACGTATGTGTGCTGAGGTGTTTTACTCTTTTGACGGTGATGTCATTTGTACTTAAATAACTAGTAAATTTGATGTTCCAACTTACAGTTTCACAGAAAATTAAATAATTGGATAGGTAAATGCATTTCATAATGCACTGACCCCACAGCACCGGTGATGACTGTGAGAGGCAATTCCAGCCCTTCAGGGGGCAGTCTCTTATCAGTGCCAAAAGTCTTTGAGAAGCTGTGCCAACACTTCCTTCCTGCAGATTATTTCAACTACCTGTGATTTGAAATTCAGCAAACTGAGGCAGGTGCCATCTTAGATGGTTAGTAATTGACCCAGTGGTTATTTTACTATTTGTTTTGCTACCATATTAGAAATGCAGAGATCAAGGAGTTAAGGCTGGTATACTATATGGCATCTTTTATGAATGCTGTGTTAGGGTAATACCGAGATAAAACAGATTTGCTGCTGCTTAGAATCTTGGACTGCAGTAAATGGGAATTATATGGTTTATAGGTAAACTCCCTGCAGAAGTCTACTAGAGACTTCGCTTTTATAGTTTTTGTGTTTGACAAAAACACAAACATCTGACTTGAGGCTGTGACTGAAAACTGACTCAAAACCTGTGTGTGTATATACATGTGTTTACTATTTTCGTGGAATATTTATGAAGCTGGGATGAATGGGTTCTTCCATCAGTCCTGTGCATTTCATTTTCACATGTGAGTCAGTGTAGAAAACTATTTTCAGACATATTTTCAAGTAGCTATTTATAGTCAATTGCTATTTTCAAAAAAGCTGGACCTCATCTCTTTTAGAAGATGTCTTGGTGCTCGTTGTGCTTGCCGTTGCTCTCTGATCTTTTTTTCCCTGTGCTCTCCCTTTTGCACTAGACCTTGAGCAGAGCAGAGGACTTCCAGTCAGCTGTTGTCAGACTAGCGGGCGTTCCCATCATTGCAGAAGTTTACTATATTGTAGGAGGTGTATCACCCAAAGAAGGCATGGTCATAACAAGGAATAGAAGAGGGCCAGCAGATCTCTGGCCTCTTGACCCTTTAGGTGGAGCGTAAGTAGAAAAAAATTGTTTATTTGGTTGCTTTTCTTTTTCATATTCCCTCCTGAGTGATAGGCAGGGTTAGAGACTCAACTTTCTCGAAAGATCCAGGGCAACTCTTACTAATGCTTCCAGCTGAACAGGGCAAGCTTGAAAGCCTCTAAAAGGAATCTCCTCTTTGAGAAGAATCATACCACCTTGTCAGGTTGGGGCAGTCTAGATGATCAAGGGTGGGAAAAATGTATGTGTTTATTTTTAGCCAGATGCCACAGAAGACAAGACTTGAGGGCTTTTCAGTTTTGTGAAATCAGCAGCGTAATATGTGATGGAGATCTTAAATAGTTGATGAAAAATGGCACTTAATGCCTACAGTCAGCCAGCAAGTACTGGCTTGAAACAGCCAGGTGGCCCTTTGGCTGCATGTGCTCCCACCTGCATTGTTCACTTACCCATAACCTGTTCTCTCATCACCTCTTTAAAGGCCTGATCTTGGTTTAATTGTAGTCGGTAGTAATTTTGTCTCTGATGCCAGCAGGAGTTCAGAGGTCACTCCTTTTTTATTTTTCGTCACTAGTATAAACTAGGTAAAAGCTGCTATGGATGCCAACCCAGAGGGTCCCTTGGGATTGAAAGCGGCTTTTAAGGGAGCTTTCTTCCCTTTTGGCAATAGAGAGACACTGATTTTTTGCCTTCGTTAATTCCTGATTTGCCTTTGCTTTGCTTTTATGTTTGTGTGTCGTGTTAAAGGTGGTTTCGTGTGGAGACAAACTATGACCATTGGACTACCCCTCCTCCTTTTGATGATCGAAGGTGAATTTAGTTCGGAGCTCTGTGATAACATAGCACTCTCTTTTGAAAAACCTAAGAGACTTGGGGGGTTTTTCTTCTCTGAGCCAACATAAGCTCATTATGGGCAGCTTGTTCACTTCCTGTAATGCCACTCAAAAAGGAACAGATGAGGTGAGGAGCAATATTCACACATGCCAGAGGAAACTCTGTGTGGCACTGAACGGCATCAAAGATGAGAAATTACAAAGATAAGACCTGTAATGAGAATTTCTTTATAAACTGTAGTACAAGTTAAAGGATTTAAATTCACACTGCAGAAGTATTTGATGGCACTAGGTGCTTGCAGACATGGTACAATCTTTAGGCTGTGTATTATGCAAAAAGCTGTTGGCAGGTTCCCTTTTGGTCTGTACTCAATAGTGTAGTCATAGAGTAGCTTCAGTGGTATGAGACTAGAGTCAGTCATACAGAACTCTGGATTACTCAAGGCCAAAACAATCATTTGAGCATGGAGGCATTTAGTGAGAATTTTATCACATTGGTGCTCTGTAGCCTTTGGAAAAGTTAAATGTGTTTCGTGGTACTGCCTTGTTTGCCTGCAGAACTCCAGCCATCAAAGCTCTCAATGCTACTGGACAGCACAACATCAATTTTGATACGCTCTTTAAGGTATGTCTTGTACATTCTGCCTTGTGACTTTGACTTCAAGTGCTTTTTGAAAGCAGAAGTTCACCTGGGTTTTTGTCAGGGATTTAACAGCTGTGCAAGGAAGGCATGGTGAAAAAGATGTGCTGCACAGTGAGCCCTGGAGAGTGGAAAGCTGATGAATTTGTTTGGTAAAATCTTTCTGAACTGCCTTGTATAGGCATTTCCTAGTAATTTACCAATTACTTTTGAGAAGTTAAATGTTACGCATTTCAGAGGGCTTTGAAAAATATTTTTGTGAAATGGTCTGATGTTTAAAAAACAGTAGTGAGAGAACCGTAGCAAAATAACTTTGTGTTGTTCATTTTCATAACTTCATCATACTACTGATTCTAAATGGCATTTTAATTTCCTTTTCATTTACCAAAATGACAACTCTTCATACTTTCTGTACAGGTCTTGTCAGTGAAGCCAGTCTTAAACAAGTAAGTATTCGTTTCAGAGATGTTAATCAGTGTCTCCCACCATGTCTCAGCCCACTCACAGGTCAGCCTTCCTTGGGATCTTCCTGTGCATCTCTGTCCTGTGGCTTCCCAGCAGAGGTTTCTGCTTGTGGGTGTGGCAGCATTTTCACTTACACAGCATTCCTCCTCTGCGGTCTGCCTCTCTAGCCAAGCAGCTGCGCTTTGTTAGGCTCCCTCTGGTACTGGCTGGTTCCTTTGGAGTAGTGAAGCTTTGGAGCAGTGACTGCTGAGGAAAGCTGCTGGACTTCCTGCTGGGTCATTTGCGCCTCTTACTCTTGCAACCTACTGCAAATGGCTTTCTGTGGAGTTTTTTATGCAGCTCTGCTTCGTGTGTGAAAGGAAGAAAGAACATGTGGGGACATAACTTTTAGGTACCATCTACTAGATTTTTAGGAGAGATTTGATTCAGTATGCCATTATTGTTCTACATTGTTTCACAAATGGCACCTTGCATGTTATCCTGGTTTGGTTTACTTGTAAATGGAGCTCAGTATACTCTCCATGTTCAGTCATTTGCATTAGAGCTTGGCAATGGCTTTGTCAGAGTTAACATCAGGGCTTCCTCTCCTCTCTCTTAAAAATATGAGAAAATTTGGAAAGGAGTCGATATCGTATGTGAGACTGCTAAGATTAGCAACATTGATTTTAATACATTAAAAAATGGATGTAGAAATAGTTTCTTTGCTGTACTAAATGTGGGAGAAAAAGCTTTTGTTTTTATCAGTCCCTTCTCCACTTTTTCTAACCCTTCTGTACCTAAGCAGAAGGTCTGTTTCCACTCAGATGTGTTCTGCTGTTTTGCTGTGTTTATGAAGTGATCTTCATGCCTTTGGAATGTCACTCACTGTCTCTTTTCCTCTTTCCCCACCAGTAACACAGTGTACACCACAGTAATGAGCGCTGCTTTTCCAGACAAGTATCGGACGTGGATCAGAACTGGGAAGTGAAGAGGTGCAAGTAGCATGCTTCTAGTCCTCGCTCTGTGTATTTAGATCAAAATGTCAGCTTGAGAGTCCTTGAGGAACAAATCCCTGCCGTGGCTCTCCAGTGACCTCGTCCGAATTCCTGATTCTCCCCAGGGTTTGCTTAGCGACCCTGGGTAAATACCTTCCCTTCCTGTTTTAGAGATCGAGTTATGGATTGACTTCCTTTGCCAAACCCCTGGAGATTCTTAGGACAAGTGCTTTAACAGAGAGGAAGGGGTGGTGGTTCTTGTGACATAAAGGTGGGGGTTCCCTCTGAGAGTTTTTACTGGTCCCCACTAGGAGACTCCCATTTCTCCAGGTGGTTGACTGTGATGAGAAGCCCCACTGGAGTGAACCGAATCCCAGCAGGAGGATTGGGGCACTTGGCACCAAGAGTTAGCAAGCTTAATTTGTGACAGACTTTAGTGAGAGTAATTCCTTTCTTTCAGAGGTCCTGGAGAGTTTTTCTTCCTTGGCTTTATACGAATTTGTGCTCTTCATTATTTATCTTTTTATTTCAACAGACAAAAGCTGAAGCTTTCTGAAACTGGCATGTGCTTCTAAAATCACTCTCACAAGCAGTGCAGTTGTTTTGGCTTACTAATTATGTGAACCATTCAGGAAATAATTACTTGTTAATTATTTTGAAGTGTGGCAGATGATGCTCTTAATTAACTACAAAGAAATTTTGATTGATTTTTATTGTAACTACATTGCTGTTTTAGCAGATGTTGATGGCTAAAAATTGCTTTTTCTGTTTTTAGAGAAAATTGTGCTACTTGAATATATTTATGTACTGACCAATTAAAAAAACTATATATTTTGTGTGGCCTGTAGGTTTAAATATAATTAAATAAAACCACACAGCTGATTGCTTGATTTTTGAAGACCTGTGGTGTTATTCCTAATGTCTCTCTGTTTTTCCCTACTCTCATAAACCTGTCAGGGTGCAGCAGTCAGCTGTGTACATAGCTGTACAGTGTGGGGATTTTACTCTCCAAAATCAGGAGCCATTTCTGGGGGTGTGATAATACAGACTCTCCCCTCAAGAGAAGGGAGAAACTTGCACTGAGATAGCAGTTAGAAAAAGGATCACTTTCCTGTTCTATAACTGAAAGTTGGTTTCAATACGAAGTTTACAACTAATTTATATAGTGCAGAGAGGTTTGTTTGGTTGGTTGTGCTGTGACTGGATATTGAATTCAGGCACTTCTTGGGAGCACCCAGAAATACAGAAGGGTTTAAAGAGTCAAGACTCATGGATTTCTTCACATAAAGCTTAGAGGTCCCGTTCTTTACTGGTCAAATTCCTGCTAATGCCAGTTAGACTTTTGAGGGGGAGAAGTTGCGATCAGTGTTAGCTCAGAGCACCGTTTCCAGGCACATAACATACGATGTCACCCACAGTACTTATGCACTGGTTCTGCAAACCATCCCTGAGAGCCTTCTGGAGCTGGGGGCCCTTTATCTCCCTGCGCCAAGTCACCCTGACCTACTTACCTGCATCCTCTGCTTCTGCCTGGATAAGCACACTGCAGGCTTTACCTTGACCCAGTTTGTATGGTGATGCCAGCAATTGTATGCCAGAGGGACAAATTTGAAAATGGAGAGTTCCTGGAGGAATGTGAACAACAGCGGTCATGGTGTTGCCGAGATTTCGGAATGTCATTGCTTTCATTTACAGTGCAGCCCCTGCCTCCTGCTCCCAGCAGGTTTTCTTTATGTGACAGCCACCCACAAGTAAAGCCAAAAGGATCCTTCCAGGTGTAACGGCACAGTCCACTTGACCTCAGCAGTGTTAGGCTGATTATCTTCTGGTGATGGTGTGCCTGCGTCCCCAGTGGTACATACATTTAATCAAATGAAACAAATACAGCTGTAGTGTAGAAATACCTGGTATCCATGAATATTCAGGAAATCATTGTCTGTTGTATTTGTGTCTCAGCTGTTCAGAACTTGCTCAGGCCTGGCTCAGATGTGGAAGATGTGGGGCAGAGATTTAAACAAGAAAGGAAATGGTTCAAAGAAGTCTTTTTTCTTTTTTTCTTTTAAAGTATCAAGCCTTGCATTTCATCCACTTATAAACACTCAGACATCCTGCTTGCCAACAAAATAAAGCCTTTATGCCAACTTGAATAATTTTTTTTTTTTGCTAGCCAAAAGGATACATAACTTTCTCATCTCTGTTTAATGACAAACTAAAAATATAAACACTAAACATGGTAAACTATATGTCTTACAAACTAGATGATTTAAGTACATAAGCTGTTGAGCTGCTTTTGTGTAAGAGTTGAAAGTTGATTAAAATGTAGAAAGGTTTTTAATAGTTTAAATAAAGCCATCTTAACAATGCTGGTGTGTTTTTTGTTTTTTTGTTTTTTTTTTTTTTTAAAAGGATGGTTTGTAGTTGGTTGAATTGTTTGCTGATCATTCTTCTGTGTGACATTTCATCTGCTTTGTGTGTTTGCTTTGTAGAGACAGGGAAGTAAAATAGCTTTTGTGCTTTCTCAAGCCCAGTCAGATTCATCACTTGGAATTGTTAAGTAATTAAATAGTACTAAGTTAAATACATTATCCTTGCTTCCTCTGTCCCTTTGGTTCTGCAGTGCAGATTCCCTAGCTACAAAGCCCAAAAGATTTTTTTTCAGCCCAATATAGGGAAGGGGTCAAAGCTTTAATTCTTTTTCTTCCAGAACTCTGCATATAGCAAGAGGCAACTTGGAAAGTGTGTAAGAGCTGACTCGAAAGAGGAGAGAGGCTGATGTACTGTATTTCTCATTCGTAATGCTCCTTAGTAATCCTAATCCATTTCAGAGCTGTAGCCTTTCTTAAGCATCACATGAGAGAGGATTCTTAAGGCTGCTCAAAACAACCGTGCAGTAAATAAATCGAAGGGGCTGTGCTCGTGTGGAGCAGCGCACACGTTCTGTACTGCAGGTGCTGAAGGCCATGTCACCTGCTGCTGCCTGCCCTGGGGAACAGCTCACTTGATTGTGTACATCCTGAGGAGGGGTTTCTGAACTTCAGAGAGTACTGATCACTTTGGGTACTCGGTAGAAACAAGGATTTAAAAAGTGGAGGGCTTCTATTTTATCTGTTGTAATAAAACCATCAGAAATTGGTGGCAAGGTGAGTTGCGTTTTTCTTTTTATTTCTCTGTAATGATGTTTTGTGCTCAGAAGTAGTGACTCAACGCCCATGGTTTGAGATGAAATATCCCTTTTACATGTCAAACTGTATAAAACTTCAGGGGGTGTGTGTTCTATTTGAAATTATCTTTCTTTGGCACTGCATTAACTATGCAGGTGCAGAGGTCAGTGCACACATAAAGTAAAACAAGCTTCTCCATCTTGTTTCCAGCTATGAGATGTGCTGAGTGACATACACGTGGGATGTGCAGAGGAGGATGAGGGAGGATCATCACTTTCCTTAGATCTAGCTATCAAGAATTTGTTTTTAATTCATCTGTAGCTCTTAGACAAACCGTTGCTGTTTTTCTTTTAGCAAAATTTAAAATTTGTTTCCCTCTGACATGTCTTTCAGTGTTTTTCCTAGTAAACTTCCAGTAAGTCTGGTGTACCTTGTTGCCTGCCAGATTCTGCTCACCTCTTCCCTCAGCTGTTCAATCCCTGGAGTTGTTAAAAAAACGTGTAGATGCGGCACTTGGGGGCATGGTTTAATGTTCATAGTATTGCTGGATGATGGTTTGACTTGATCTTAGAGGTCTTTTCCAACCTTAATGATTCTATGATTCAAATGTCTGTAAAACTGCTAAGTTACTGGGGATGTCGCTGTTCAACTTCGCTAAGTCTTCCAGCCTGTGTCTTTAGGGGCTCCTGTTCCTCTTCTTTTTTGTGGGCACAGGATTTTAGGAAGAGGAGACATGCACGTCACTGGTGGGCAGATGAGGAAGGATCAGAGATGCTGAGCAGTTGGACTGCCTCTATTTCTTCCTTGCTACTCACACCCTTCAAACAGATTTGATTCTGTTGGAGTCACAAGCCTACACTGATAAATTCTGAAAAAACTTTTTTCTCAAATAGGATTTGCCTTGTGCAAGAAGTTACAAATAAGAGCCTTAAAGGCTAGGAATTCTGATTTTTTTTGTCTGTTTGTGTAATTAATTATCTGAAAAGCTGTCAGAGTATCTGTGCTATTGAAGTACAAAGGCCATAAAGTACTGGACATAACTGGGCATAATTCAGCACTGATTTCAGGTAATTTTTGATGTGAAATAATATTGTTAAAATAGAACTAGAGTGACAGGTAATTTGTTGAGAGCTTTGCTGCATGTCCTACTGTTGCATTGCCCAGTTACTGTGAAGATGCCATACTGTGAAGAAGCATCCAAGGCAGGGCAGAGAATTTCAGCATCTCAACTGCTCTATGCTCTAGTTAGAATAAAAATCTGTGTGATTCTTACATGATGCAGCCTGGGACTGATTTGGTGGCAGTACTTGATTTTTTTTTTTTTCCCAGAGGAAACATATCTGAATGTGAAGGACAATCTTGTCCTCAAAGTGAGAGATGCCAGAATTTGACTTAATCTTGAAATAGGATCTGTTTGCTCTGACCAGAGCTTTCCACAGCAGTGATCTTACAAAAGTCTGTCTGTCCTGTCCTTTTATACAGGCCAGGATCAGAGCAATTCATGGTATAATATGCTCCCACACTCAAGCAGATCCATAACCTGAAGGAAAATAGTGTTTAACAAACGTGATTATTTTCTTATGATTGCTAATTGTTATTTTAGACTTACCTCCCCTTTAGCTGTAGTCCTACAAATAGATTTAAATACTATCTGTGTGTTCATCCCTCATCAGAGTTACCCTTCACAGTTGGCTATATGTATGGATATTTGTCAGTGTATACTGATTGTTAATGAATCACCTTAATGACCTTTATGGTTCCTGATCAGGATTGAAAAAAGTACAAAAAAGGACATGGATGCTGGATTTATACATCTATCATACAATTACAAGGCCTAGATAAGCAACGTCTGCTCTTTTTATAGTATTAGGAAAGGTGCTGCTGAAATGATACCTATTCATACAGCTGATGTGAAATTTGAAACAGTAAGACAGAGAGACAACAAGGTAGCTGGGGAAACCTGGGAGTGAAAGATGTATTTGGGCACAAGTTAGGCCACCTGCTCATTGATTTTAATAAGCGTTTATACATTTGATTATAGATTCTCATCATTGTGGCACATGTTGCAGCCATTTTGATTCTGACTGAACGGTCTTTGCTGCATCTCTTTTGTGGTTTTGGTGACACTGGGCCAGTCTGTGACGTTCTAGGAGCATTGGTTGGGGAACATGGGATCTGGCAGCTCTGTAAATGCCAACTACAAGTACTCCCTGCAGAAGTCTGAAAATGGTGAGTGATACTTTGAAAAGTTATATTGTCCTGTCTGCTCCTACATGTGCCGTTGGGAGGCTGCAGGGGGTGTGTTTCTGTTCTGCAGAGTGTTGAGGTGAGGTTATGTCTTTCCATATGCTGTGACAAGGAGTCTCACCTGTCAGGCAGAAGACCAACAGGCTTGACAAAACAATGGCTGTTTAGACCGGGATTAGATTAAAAGCTGAAAAGCAAAAAGTGTGCTTTTTTTCCAGTGACTTCAGCACAATGCTTTTAGTCTCTGTTCATAATCTAGACTTGTTTATGGCTCTCAAAGCTGATTTATCTTTATGAAACTCTCCATATGATAGTATTAATTTTCTGAATGCATGCTTAGGTCTGCTGTGGAACAAAGGGGGTTTATGAGGGAGGCTTTACACATAATGAAATGCATAAAAGTAAGTGGATCACTCTTTTTGCTGTTTGAATCCTTCAGTTGTCGGCACTGGCAGAACAGCTGTATGGTGCAAACTGTTTGCAAGTGCTTTGGAAAGAAAAATACTGGTTGTTTTTAGAAATGAAGAATGAGGGGATGCTATCTTGACTCAGTCTTTTTTCTTTGCCATTTTTCTTGGTCGAAAAACTCCACCTTAAGTAAGCTAGACTTGTCTATTGCTTACAGCACCAGAGAACCATGGACTTCCCTGAAAACTTCAGGGTTATCTTTATGACAATGGCTTGTCTATAACAAAGTGTAGCATAACACCAGTTATTTATTTTAAATTCTGCATTAGATCCGATACCTCATCACCAGTTTCCCCGGCAGTAAAACCTTCCTGAATTTCTTGCATCTGGTTCTCAAAATCCTTCCAATCTGGTGACCTGCAGATGTAGAGCTGGTTAGGACTTTCCACCCAAATGTAAAGCCCCTGGTGTCATCCTGTCCCCCTTGCACAAGGCCCAGAAGCTGTTCCTGATGGGAAGCATAGCCAGCAAAGCTCTGTTAAACCGGCCCTGCACTGGAGTGAAGAAGGGGATAGGCAGCCCAGGAATGTGCAGAGTCCCTCCCGTAAGCTGATGTGTGACCTAGCATGAACAGGCCAACTTTGGCATCCTTTCAGTGGCTTATATGATGATGTGTGAATCACTTTACTGCTTGGATCCTCATAAAATGTGGATAAATCTTTCTCTTCCCTTTTTTTTTTTATTATTTTTTTTTCTAAACTAGTACAAACACTGCCAGATGCAAGTCACCCAGGTAAGCTGGTAAATTAGAATACCTGGCTTTTTCAGGTGCAGAGTCAGCCTCTGTAAAAGTAGTAAAAAAACACCAATGTTTTGCCCACCTGGAGCTTAAAGTGCTGTGGGTGGTGGTATATATGCTCCCTGTGTTCTTGATAACAAGTCTTTCATAGATTTTATTTTTAATATTTCCCAGGATCTAGTTTTCGTTGGTATATGTGGAGTCATAACTATGAATTTCTGCTCAGGACTTGGTTGAAATACATGTGACTCTTACTGCAGCAATTGGATGTATATCCACTTTTAGGGGAATGCAGGATATTTAGAAGTGGTTTATTTTTTAAGTGATTGTGACTGTGACTCTGCTAGCCAAATTATTGTACAGGTGGCTACTGTTGGGTCTCTTATAAAGGAGTCTTGAAGAGGTAGCATCAGGAGCAACATATTGCAGGAAATGTCAGCCTTTTTTATTTTTTCATAGCCCAGCAGATCAGTAAGCATTTCCTCAGCAAGATATAAGGCTCAGGAAAAGAATACCTAAGTTATTCTTGAGTTAAGGTTAGCCAGGCCTTACCTTTTTGCCAGTGACTTCACCGTGATTCAATTCCCCCACTGCACAACAGCAGTAGCTCTTCCCTTGTGCTCTGCAGTGCCTAGTGCTGTAACAATAATGTAATTTAGAAGGATTATTATTTTTCAATACATAAGCCATCAGGATATCTTATTTAGGTAAAGGTCAATGTTTCCTGC